CTAGAATGTTTAGCTACATCTACTAACATGTTTAGCTACATCTACTAACATGTTTAGCTACATCTACTAACATGTTTAGCTACATCTACTAGCATATTTAACCACATCTACTAGCATATTTAACCTCATCTACTAGCATATTTAACCACATCTACTAGCATATTTAACTACATCTTCTACTAACATATTTAGCTACATCTACTAGAATGTTTAGCTACATCTACTAGCATGTTTAGCTACATCTAATAACATATTTAGCTACATCTACTAGCATATTTAACTACATCTTCTACTAACATATTTAGCTACATCTACTAGCATGTTTAGCTACATCTACAAGCATGTTTAGCTACTTCACTGACTCAGTTCTTCTGACAGTGAAGTGATGAACAAGCTGAAAAGCTCTGAGGTGTATCAGTGTCTCCACAGCAATAAGGTCGGTGTGTTTTGTTAAAATAGGTGGGACACAATCTTATTGACCTTAAATCAGACACAGAGTCCAGACAAAGCCTTAAAGTCCTCCATCACTGAGCTTTGGTTCATTACAAAGAAAATCATGAAGCTGAAGATGAACAAATACTATAAAGCTGTGACCTCCATACACCTGAAATCATCCCTCATGTTCTCGTCACTGTTTTCAATCCTTCCGAGGATCCGGCGTCTCTTCTCCGGTGGTTTATTGTCGTCCAGACACAAAGTAGGATGCAGGTTTTCCTCCGTCGACCGTTTGTCAACAAAGTGAAATGAACACACATACAGGGTTCACATTTTTCAGACACATTCTTCTTTAATTCTTCATCTGTAGGTAGGAGATGGAAAATAAACCTCTTTTCACAGGAACGCTCTTTGTTTTGGGTCCGTGTTCAAAACTCTGTTGTTGCAGCCGCTGATTTAGTTTGATCTGTTCCTGCAGCCGTGAACACATCAGGTACCTGAACTCAGCACGACTATTTTAGTAAACTTTACGGTTGTTAAATAAATGTAAACAAAACAAAAACAGAGTTTTATCTGATAAACTGAATGCCGTGCTCTGCTACCATGGTAGCCAATACCGACTACTACTTCCTGTCTGACAGGAAGTTGTACCATAATCATTTATATAGTAGAGGCCCCAGGGATAACGTGGATAGAGCAGGATAATGTCCTTTTAATTATTTTTGGTGTTTACAACATTTAAAAGATGCAACACATGTGGTAAAATAAACAATAATATCCTTTAAATTAAAAAAAAAACTTTTTTTATACAAATTTAAAGTGTGAAACCAACCAGTTGGCATCTGGTAACAAGTTTTCATTTAAAGGACACATTAACCATGAATACGACGGTAATCTTGTCTGGATTTTGTTTCTTACTTTATTTCCGTCCAGCCTTCTTGACTTTGAATAGATCTGTTACCTCTCCACATAATGTTATAATCTCAATATAATCCTGATTTGAGCAGAGCACACGGGTTATAATTCAAATATTTTGTTGCGTTTAAAGGAGTTGGCATTGGGCCGCCTTCCTCATCGTCATCGCCTCCGTTAGTCCGCCATTCAATATTGAGAACATGAAACGATGAACACTTTTCTTTATGATGGGACATTTTCTCAATGTGAAGTCTGTTTGACATGAAACCCTTGGAGGAGAGTTTGAAAACGGACGGCTCCGTGTTGTGTTGTCCATCGTCTCTTTACTGTGCATTAAAAATGAATGGGCTGAGAGTTTTACTGGAGCAATTAGGGTTGAGAGCGCACTCTGAGACTGCATCACTCCCCAACCCCCCCTGCTTTACAGTTTCTACCCTCCCCAACATAAACCAGCACAGCAGACCAACGGCTTGACTTCCTCCCGCTCAGCTGTGTGGGGTTGTTGTACGACTTTTCTTTCAGAGTTGGCAGCTTCAGCAGCTCAGCTGAGAGTTTAATTGAGGGCTGGAGCGACATTTTATGGCTGCGCTCAGACGACCATCACTCCCCTTTTCTCTGCAAACACTGCTCGACTCCAGTTACATTCAAGTGGTAATGGCTTACATGAAAAAGGAAGTGAGTCCACATGTGGAGGACTCAGCCCTGGTCCTGTCATGCAGAGGCTTCTGAGGACCCTTAGTGGTCACACTGTTGTACTGCAAACAGCTGCTGATGAAAAGATCCTTGAAGGAATGCATATCACCCGCCACCTTTCAGGTTAGACATTTAGACGGAAGTCATGTCAAACCTCACGTTATCTGTTGCCGCTGTGTTAACGACTGTCGGCTATCCTGAACAGCGTGAACTCCAAAAATAAATTGGTAGTAGATGTACTGGATACATGTACTGTGCACGCTGTGGAAGCAGAACATGGACTCAGTGATACTAGAATACTACCATTAATACAGGTCATGTCAAAATCTTAGGTGTTCAGTTTGTCGATTCCTACGAACATCTTGGTTGATTCACATCTTCTCTTTCAAGCCTCGTGTCAAAAACTTGGTAAAGAAACTGAAAGTTAAACTGGGTTTCTTCTTCAGAAACAGATCCTGTCTAACTCTGAATGCTAGAAAACACCTTGTATCTGTGACTTTCCTTCCCTCCATTGATCACGGTGACATTCTCTACAAGAACCCTGCAGATGTTGGATGCTGTCTATCACGGTGCACGAAGATTCATAACTGGCTGTAACTACTGTACCCACCACTGCACCCAGTACTGTAACTGGACACCTTTAACGTCACGCAGACTCTCCCACTTCTCATCTTTAAATCACTTCTTGGTCTGCTGCTTTCATACATCTCCTCCTACATGTCTCTGCGTGAGTGCAGCTACAGCGTGCGCCCTCAGGACATCATTACCTGCAGTGTCCCCTCAGTGAGAACTGAACTAGAGAAAAGAGCCTTCTCCTACTCCGCTCCTGGAATATCTTGCAAAAAGATCTGAAGCTCTTGACCTGTATAAAAGGTTGAATGAAAAATTCCCCGAGCTTTCCCTGTCTGGAAAATGTGAAAGTCATTTTCCGGGTTTTCCCTAATTTCCAGAGTCACTGGGAAGCCGACAAAGGTTGGATCCAAGACAAACTGTCCCGACATGTAACGGCAGTATTTTCTTTCCTCAGGTTGCCAGACTGTGGGGCATGCAGAAGAATCGTCCTGCCATGAACTACGACAAGCTCAGTCGCTCTCTGCGCTATTACTACGAGAAGGGAATCATGCAGAAGGTACAGAAACTAACCGAAGTGTTCACGTCAAATCAAAGGAGTGAGGTTTAGCTCTTCACGAGTCTCCTCTCTGCGCAGGTGGCCGGGGAGCGCTACGTTTACAAGTTTGTGTGCGAGCCCGAGGCGCTCATCTCCCTGGCTTTCCCCGACAATCAGCGGCCCAGCCTAAAGGCCGAGTTCGAGCGCTACGTCAACGAGGAGGACACGGTGCCCCTTTCACATCTGGACGAGGGCGTGCCCTACAACCCTGAACAACCCTCCCAAAACATGGGCCCTCAGCCCTACTCTAAAGGCTACATGTACTAAAGCCAGAATCCCTCCCCTCCACCTTCAGAAGTCCTCCTTGTTGCACCAACCCATCGTCATACACATCCTGAGACACCCCTCGCTCCCAGCACCTCTTGCACACACCCACCCCTTCCACTTGTATATAAGGCTATGGTTTTTTGTTTTAAATTAATCTCAGTAGGGATTGTTTTTGTTTTTAAGAGCTGCATTCCTCTCAACACTTCAACCTGACGGGTTGAAGCGATCGCTTAATAATAAACACCCATGATAATAACCCAACGAGAGTCGTGATGGTTTGTCGTTTCTTTTTAATTATCCTCCATCGTGAAAGAGGATCTGTCCGTTAGTGACGAGCCACTGGAAAGCATCTACAACTGATTAAATCTTGAACATGATTCACGATGGCCAGCAGTTAATTCAACTTTGCAAAGCACAAACAGCTCCACCACCTGCTGGTCGTGAATGGTATCACAGTCATGTAGACTGGTCCACGCTTCATTTCTATTCAGTTTATTTATTGTATAGCTCCAATGCTCAACAGAAGTTGTCTCAGGGCGCTGAACAGAAACATTTATGTACATTAAAAAAAGCCAATTAATAAAAAGTTACCTCAGGAAGCAGCAGATTGTGTTTAACCTTCACTTCGCTGCCATCCTCAGCAAGCACAAAGGAGACGGTGGAAAGGAAAACCTCCCTTTTAACAGGAAGTAACCTCGGCTGTCTGCTTTGACCAGCGGGGGTTCGAGAGGACAGGAAGTAGAAATAAAAACCAGAATGACGGATCCAGGTGTTGGAAAATCCAACAATGTTCAGTCACGTCATCTGGACGTTTTTTATTTTCTGAGACGTTTTGTCTTTTTCATCCAAAGGACTGAACATTGTCGGATTGTTGAGCGTGAACTTTTTGTACTTCGCTTACAATTATTTGATCAGCAGGTTCTGTTTTCTTGCAATAAGCTGCTGTTCTCGTCAAACTCCTCTTTTACGTCACTGGAATATCTTCGCGTCTCGTTTCACCGAGATGAACTGGCAGGAAAACCAACTTCACGAGCAGATTTTAAACACAGCCCAGGGTTGTCCTCGAGCAGCAGAAGACCGAGTCGCGGTGCTTTCCGTCTCCGTCGTGCACTTTAACTGCACGCCACAATTTATTTTAGAAATATAAATTACAAACTGGTTCTACAGGTTTCCCTCAATTTGATCTAAAATAAAATTAATTTAGATTTTTAGCACCAACTTATATTTGAGTTGTTTTTTTTATTTTCAGCTGTTAAATTAATTTGTGACTTACATCTGATTAATTAATTGAAGTGGAAAAATAAGTGAACAGAGAGTAATTACATATTTTACACCACATCTTATTCTGAGGAGGAAATACTAAAGTCTTGTATTTACATTTATGTTGAAGGTAAAAAGTACTAAAGTGTGTTTTTTCTTTGTTCATCTGTATTTACAGTAAAATTAAACTTTGACAAACGTTCAGTTTTTTTTCATTTCAGGTCTGATACACAGATATTTTTACAATGTTCAACCATTTTGGTCAAACAAAGAATCAGAAGAGTAAAAAAAAAAATCAAACTAAACTTCCCTCAGGTCCATTTTCAGATAATGTGAGTCCAATTTAAAACAGAAGAAATAAATAATCCATCAGTTTACACAGAATCTATAAAACGGCTCTTAATTAGTTTCTGCTCTAAAACGATTAAAATGACTGAAGCCACAAATTTAAGGAGACCGCATCCTGATCCGTGTGTCCAAAGCTGGTACAGTACCGCAGTGAAGATGACATCGCCACCGCCCAAACATCTGCGCTGCAGATTAGCGACGTCACCCGCGTCAGCGGCGTCTGAAGGCGCGGGAGATCCTCCAGGCGTTTGGCTCCTCGTAACGGTTGTACAGCGGTTCGAGGCGCTGCTGCTTCTTCTGCTTGCTGAGACGCGTGGGGTCGGACACTTTGAAGAAGGCGGGAGCGAACTCTACGAGCCAGCGGGGATCGATGGTGGTCACCTCGCGCATGTACTCCTTGGTGGTCAGGACCAACTCGTGGTACACCACCCTGCGGAGAACAGACGCAACAGTTTCAGTACAGGAGCCTTTAAATGGGACGTTACTGAAGAAACGAAGAAAGTTTACGTTTATGAGCAGAAAATGAAAAACAAAAATCAAACAACACTTTGTTTTAGGACCAGTAGGTTAAAGTTATGGCACCAAGTGAGTCGAATATAAGCAGCACTTGAAAAACTAGAACCAGAGGTGAAGCTTGAGATTAATAGACTTCTTATCTCCGTCAGCTGATCATGTCTGCAGGGCTGCGTTTACCCAGCATGCACCACTGGATGGATTGAATGAAACTCAGTGATGACGGACGTACAACAGATCAACTGTCGGAGTCAACATTATTCAAGATGGCCACTACAGCCAGCTGGACTTACAAAACACAAAAATGATGACGGTTCAGTCCATTTTATAGATCTAGAGACAGACTTTGTTGTGGTAGGAGCCGAGCATCCTTCCTACGTGTACTTCAGGGACTACACATCAAATGATATTTTACTTCCATTCAAAAATACTTTATTAACGCCAAAGGGAAATTAAACGTAACTCGTTATCCTGGTTTCATTATAAAGTTGTTCTAGACGATGACGGCTGTGGGCAGGAAGTAGCTCACGCAGCGGTCTGTCCCACAGCAGATCCAAAGAACTGGCCACAGATGCTGATCCGTCCACCCGGATCACTTCAGCCCCACCCGTTAGCTGCTAATGAACCTAAACTCTTAGAAAGAAATTACTGGGTGTAGCCGAGTCACGCCAATTTGATTAAAACTCCAAAATAGTTCAAACTTTGGTAACAACTAGGGATGCACCATTTATTTTTTACTTCCGATCGATCCCGATCCCTAAATCTGAATATCGGCCGATACCGATCCAGTTCCGATATCATCATCATCATCATCATTGATTTTACATGAGGCTGTAATAATCTCTCAAGTACAATTTGTACAAATATATGCATGCATGTCTAAAAAAAGCAACTTGAGGTAAGTTTTACTAATGTTGGATAAGTTTTAAAGTTAGAATTAAATTCTAACACAAAACATGTTTGTTTTTATTCTAAGCTTTAAAGTGGAAATTAAAGTGATTAATTTAAGCGATCGTTTAAAGTTATTTTATATATTTTTTTCTAAATAAGGGGCAGATATAAGATTTTTCTTCTTTCTGCACTCTTCATTCAATGTTTCTTTTTGATGAATTTGTTTTGTTTCTTTTAAATGAACGAATAAATGAATTAAATAAAATATTAAATAGCTTCAAACACAAGTTCACGGCATAAACCAACAGGCATGTTCCTGGTTGTAGTTATTTACATCACTTTATGATGCAGCTGTTTTTGCTTCAGCCTTTCCTAACACATTCTCCAAGTGCTAAACAAATAAACAACATATTTGCTTAAACCAGTACGTAGGCCTGTCACGATACAAGTTTTGCTGCCCGATGGACTGTCAGAAATTATTGTGATAAACGATAATAATGTTTGAAATTTGACAATAACTAGTAATTATTGTCAAATTTAAGAGGAAATGTTGGTTAATTTTGTGTTTAGTACCTTTTTTGACCAGTGGATGGCAGTATAAGACTGTTTGAACCGAAGGATGGATAGTGAGAGAGTGAGCAGCGTGTCTCAAAGAAAAATGGGAGGGAGGCTCCTTGACGTGACATGGGCTGTCTCCCCTTCCTGTTTTTCGCTTCTCAAAATGGTGGACACTCCTTGTGGTGTGAGAATAGCACTGGTCACACAAAGCTTTTAATAAAAAAAATTTTTTAATTAGTAAACAAGTTCTCGGCTTCTTTTTGCAGAAAAAAAACTTTTTAGACGAAGACACGAGTTTCGACCGTGAATTTTGGAGTTTCGACAAAACGTTCTTGCCCTGAGGTCGGCCTGTTAGCTTAGCTCGTAGCTTAGCTGCTTTTAATGACCCCAAAAACACAATTTTGGACGATTAAAACGGATTTTAAAGAGAAAGGGAGGGGTCAGTGAAGAACCGGAGTGGAGTCTTTTTGTCTTCCAGTGTCTTCAGTAGAAAGAGAGACATGAAGAAATGATAAAGCCGATAAATGAGGTCGGATTTTCATTTTTCATGCGATTAATTGATTTATTGTTTATCACAACCGACCTACCAACATGTCATCTACCTTTAAAACTCCAACATTTGGAGTCAACTCTATTTAAGATGGCTGCCACAGGTAACTACGATCAGCAAACACCTAAAATGTCTCGTCTCAGTTTTACAGACCCTGGACTGTGGTCGAGCTAAACGAGAGCTCACACCAGCTCGTCGCTGGACGAGACGGCGCTTTAAGACCTGAACATGGTTTGAAATAAAACCGTCCCGTCTCTACGAGGTGATTTCTAGTTAAAGCTCTGGCACAAAAAGGCAAAGAGCGTAAGGAACGCTTGGCCTGTCAGTTTTGAGTTCTGGTTAATAGAGATGTTACTGGGACGATTCTGGTTTAAATGGTTGAAGGGAGATGAGCTCGTACCATTCAGGCTGCCGGTTGAACAGAGCACTTGATGGGTGGATGTAAACGACCTGCTGATCTATGAGGGTTCTGTAGCCCTCCTGAGGATCCTTCTTGGCTGCATTTCTGAAGAAACCACTGCAGATGGCCTTCTGCACTCGTACCGTCGCTTTGCCACACGACACCACATCCAGTTTATGTCTGCGGAGGAAAAAGTACAACTTTAAGATACAACGCCCACGTTGTTCAACGCGCTTCGATTTGAAAATGTAAGCGACTCCTACCTGTCCATGATGCCCAACATCTGCTTGCGGATATCCTGAGCTCTGCGCAGGGAGCGAGCCTGGATGAAGTTCTCGTAACACCAGGGGTTGGAGAACTTGTTGTTCTTCCAGGAGTTGTACACGGCCAGCAGGGTGAGGTGGTCGCCCTCCGGCTGGTGGAACTTTGCCTTCTTCTGGTCGGCCAGGGCCTGCTTGTCCTGAAACATAAAAACGGAATAATTACTGTAATTTCCAGACTATTGAGTGCACCTGAATATAAGCCATGCCCACTAACAAAAAAAACAAAATAATAATTTGTACATATATATAGGACACAGTTGTGTATAAGCTGCAGGTGTCCACGTTGTAAAATTAAATATTTACACACAGATTTTTTTAAAGGCTAAATGTTTTGGCAGCATGGAGCTCGTAAAAATCCATAACTTTGCCACATCGTTGCAGTTGCCGTGTTCAAAGCGTGTGAAAAATGTAGCAGCTTATAATCCAGAAATCACTGTACTCTCACTAATAAGACTGGATGCAGTTTACACCTGAACCAATCCATGCACTCTTTATGAGAAGTGCATTTTAAAAAGGTTCGTCTGGTTCTGTGAGTTGTTACAACAGAATTCATAAAAAAAAAAAAAGAACTTGACGCTCTCAGATAGATCCTGCTGGGATGAACGTACCTTCGGCCTGTAGAAGACGTTCTGAACGGACAACATGGACACAATCGTGAGCATCTCTTCGCTGCAGCCCAGATGGACCGACATGATCAGCATCTTGCACAGCATGGGCTCCAGAGGGAACTCGGCCATCTAGGGCAGAGGGTTAAAGAATGTTGGTGAAGAAAATAAAAATAAAGCAAGAAGAGCGTTTAAGAAGAACTGCAGGTGGAAGCTCTCCTCACCCTTCTACCGAGCCGTGTGAGTAAGCCCTCGTCATCCAGAGCTCCCAGCGTGTAGAGCTGCTCCATGGCTGTGATCAGCGTCTCCATGGGGGGAGCGTCCATGAAGTCAAAGGACAGGAGGTCATTGATGCCCATGGCCTGGCGGAGAGAAGAAAAGAAACGGGTTGATGAAACTTTTAAAAGCTTTTAATTAACGTAAGATGAACGCTAAAAACCAGTCGGACCTTCAGAGACAGCACCGTGCTGGCCAAGTTGGTCCTCTGGATCTCCGGCACGTTGGTGGTCAGCATCTCGTCCCGGTAGGCTCTTTCAGTGTAAAGTCTGTAACACTTCCCTGGACCGGTTCTGCCGGCGCGGCCCGCCCTCTGCTTGGCCTGAGCCTGACGTCAAGTTCATGCTTACTTTAGTTCATTCACCTTTAATGAAGTTGTGCGACAACTTCTTTCGTATTCTTCTAATTAAAAACATCAGACCCCCGTACCTGTGAGATGGGCGTCACCACCAGCTGGTCGATGCCGGTCTTGGAGTTGTAGACCTTTTGTTTGACAAAGCCGGGGTCCACCACGTAATATATCCCATCGATGGTCAGAGACGTCTCGGCGATGTTTGTAGCGATAACGACCTGAAGAACAGAAACTGCTTTTTATTGGTCCTTGAAGGAACGTCCTCAAAACAATTCACTAATGACTTTTAGAAGAAACACAAGGGCTGGACTCGCACATTAAACTAATTCACAATTTAAAACTGAAATAAAACAAATTTAGACAATGAACATGTGGAATTTGTTCCAATTTTTTTAAAAAGAGAAGAATTTCCAGAAGTAAAACACAAACCAAACCTCAGTATAAACTGAACCTTACCTGGAGGTGAATATTAGGCCTGTCGCGATAAACAATAAATCAATTAATCGCATGATAAATGACAATTATCGACCTCATTTTCATGTATCGGCTTTATCGTTTCTTCTCTTCACTACAAGCAAGAAGCTAAGCTACGAGCTAAGTTAACCGACGACCTCGGGGGGAAAAAACCTCCGTCTTGTCGAAGCTCCAGAATTCAGTTGAAACCCGTGCCTTCGTGTAAAAAGTTGTTTTTCTCTGCTCAAACAGCTGAGAACTTGTTTACTGAATTTTTATTAAAAGCTTTGTGTGAAAAATGCTAAAGAGCCCAAACTACACTGAGCGTCCGCCATTTTGAGAACAGAAGAGAGACAGCCCATGTCACGTCAAGGGGCCGCCCTCCCATTTTTCTTAAAGAGACACGTTGCTCGCTCCCTCACTATCCATCCTTCGGTTCAAACAGTTTTGTACTGCCATCCGGTGGTCGAAAAAAGGTACTACACACAAAAAATAACCAACATTTCTTCTTAAATTTGACAATAATTACTAGTTAGTCACAATAATTTCTGAGACAATTAATCGGCCAGCAAAATCCGTTATCGTGACAGGCCAAGAGAATATAATTTAACTAATCCTGTGGCTTCTTAAGCTAAAGATTTGAGTGAGCACATTTGTTCTTTTTTCATTAAACCGTTAATCTGGATTTTTTTTTTCTTTTAATAAGAATCCAATTATATTCCAGGTTGTAAAGCAGCAAAACTGAAATAATTTCAAGAGGAACTAGAAAGTTCCTGGAGAAACTTTGACGCACACTGCTGCCAATTTAAACATTTTATTTGAGAGTACCGTGTTTGGGTTTCCTCTCAGCTATCAATACACCAAATTTCAGCTGAATTGCTCTAAAAGTTATATTTTTCCCCTTTTGGCTAAGGCGGCCATCTTGGATTTTTGATTTGGATTCAGTACGTGATGGGAAATGTTCTCAGCTTTCGCCACACAAACTTTTAGCGAAATGTCTCACAAATTAGCTGATTTATAGTATTTTTCCTTTTTAGCTCAGGCGGCCATCTTGGATTCTTGATTTGTATGAAAACTCGCTCTCCGGTACGACCGGAGCAAATTTCAGCTCAATATTTCAAAGAATGACAGTTACTGAGTTCTGTCATGCGTTTTGAATGAGAAAAACTGCTGCTTTGTTTGCAAATTGCGTCGCCATGGTAACTCGATACGCCAAGGAAAGTAATGGCACACATCACAGTGCCGAGGCGGCCATTTTAATATATATTTGTGGGGGTACATGTTGAGAGAAAAATAAGATATAAAGTTAAGAAACCCTTTGTCAGGTGTATAATATAATAATAGGTGCTGCCTTATACTAGGACAATTAATCCAATTAATATTTTTGCACGGCACTGCTTGTCATTTTATTTTATTTATTAAACCTTTATTTAAATAGGTAGTGTGACCGAGTCACGAGGACTCGTATTAGTTCATGTTCCAGAGGTCTGTTGTCACCTTTCTGCTTCCTGGAGGCGCAGGGTCAAAAATCCTGGTCTGCATTTCACTGGGCAGAGCAGAATAAACCGGCAGGATGATGAGTTCAGGAACGTCGGGTCCAAGAGACTTCATTCTCTCGTACAGAATCTCGCAGGCGGTATCGATCTCCTCCTGACCCGTTAAAAAGACCAGGATGTCACCTGAGCAGAGAACAGGTTGTGAGCAGACATTCATGTTAAAACTGCAGGTGAAGACGAGATGAGCGGTTTTTTTTTTTAACCTGGAGGCTCAGTCAGATGAATCTGCATGACGGTGATGAGGCTGGCGTCCAGATAGTCGGTCTCGGGTTCTTTGGTGTAAAGAACCTCAACTGGATACGTTCTTCCTGGGATGGTGAAGATGGGCGCTTCGTAGAAATACTGAGAGAACTTGACGGCGTCCAGCGTGGCCGAAGTTACGATCAGCTTCATGTCCGTGCGCTTCTGTACCGTCTAAAACCAAACGAATGCTCAGAGCAGTTCTCGTTGCAGCAACTTTCACATATCGACCATTGACAAGAAGATCGTGTGTTCTGGGTTTTCACCTTCTTGAGGAGACCAAACAAAACGTCCGTGTGGATCGTCCTCTCGTGGGCCTCGTCCAACATGATGATGGCGTACTGGCCCAGTTCGGAGTCGATCAAACACTCCCTCAGCAGCATACCGTCCGTCATGTACTTGATGACCGTCTCGGGACTAGTGCAGTCCTCAAACCGGATGGTGTAACCCACCTGCAGAACACACACAACCGATCAGCTGTTTGGAAATTAAACAGACGTGGTGGGTCCAGCAACAGAAACTCACCTCTTGTCCCAGACAGCACCCGTACTCCTCAGAGACTCTCTTGGCAACGGACATGGCGGCGACACGACGGGGCTGCGTGCAGCCGATCTTCCCTCTGGTGGTGTAACCTGCTTCTGCCAGGTACTGAGTGATCTGCGTGGTCTTACCAGAGCCCGTCTCTCCGATGACGATGAGAATCTGGTTGTCATGAACAGCCTGCAACAGATCAACAGGAGGAGGATTTAACGACGCCGACCGATGAATGAGCACAAATACATCCTTAAAAACAGAGAAGCATGCATCGATACCAGTACCAGTCTGCACATGGAGACACTGAAGTTCTGCCCATTCTTCCTGCAGAACAGCTCGAGCTCAGTGAGGTTGGATGGAGAGCGTTTGTGAACAGCAGTCTTCAGCTCTTTCCACATATCCTCCATTTGATTCAGGTCTGGACTTTGACTTGGCCATTCCAACACCTGGTTTATTTGTGAACCATTCCATTGTAGATGTGTCTTCATGTTTTGGATCATTGTCTTGTTGGAAGATAAATCTCCGTCCCAGTCTCAGGTCTCTTGCAGACTCAAACAGGTTTTCTTCCAGAATGGTCCTGTATTTGGCCCCATCCATCTTCCCATCAGTTCTGACCATCTTCCCTGTCCCTGCTGATGAAAAGCAGGCCCAAACCATGATGCTGCCACCACCATGTTTGACAGTGGGGATGGTGTGTTCAGGGTGATGAGCTGTGTTGCTTTTACTCCAAACATATCGTTTTCATTGTGGCCAAACAGTTGGATTTTGGTTTCATGTGACCAGAGCACCTTCTTCCACATGTTTGGTGTCTCCCAGGTGTCAAACTTTAAACAACACTTTTTATGGATATCTTTGAGAAATGGCTTTCTTCTTGCCACTCTTCCATAAAGGCCAGATTTGTGCAGTGTACGACTGATTGTTGTCCTATGGACAGACTCTCCCACCTCAGCTGTAGATCTCTGCAGTTCATCCAGAGTGATCATGGGCCTCTTGGCTGCATCTCTGATCAGTCTTCTCCTTGTTCCAGATGAAAGTTTAGAGGGACGGCCGGGTCTTGGTAGATTTGCAGTGGTCTGATACTCCTTCCATTTCAATATGATTGCTTGCACAGTGCTCCTTGGGATGTTTAAAGCTTGGGAAATCTTTTTGTATCCAAATCCAGCTTTAAACTTCTCCACAACAGTATCTCGGACCTGCCTGGTGTGTTCCTTGGTCTTCATGATGCTCTCTGCACTTTGAACAGAACCCTGAGACTATCACAGAGCAGGTGCATTTATACGGAGACTTGATTACACACAGGTGGATTCTATTGATCATCATGAGTCATTTGGGACAACATTGGATCATTCGTAGATCCTCACTGAACTTCTGGAGTGAGTTTGCTGCTCTGAAAGTAAAGGGGCCCAATAATATTGCACACCCCACTTTTCAGTTTTTTATTTGTTAAAAAAGTTTGACACAGCCAATAAATTTCATTCCACTTCAAGATTGTGTCCCACTTGTTGTTGATTCTTCACAAAAAATAAAATGTTTATATCTTTATGTTTGAAGCCTGAAATGTGGCAAAAGGTTGAAAAGTTCAAGGGAGCGAACACTTTCCCAAGGCTCTGTACAAAACCTCCATCCGCTCTCAGCTATTACAACTAAGAGCTATAGATCACCATCAAGTGAGGAGTGATGAGGCCTGACTGGGCCAGTGGAGCGAATGGATACGGCCAGAACTGACCGTTCATCAGTCTTCCACCAGAAGATCCTTAACGAGCTGCTTAATGATTAGAAGCTGCCAAAGGAAGCGCTAAGCTAACGCTCAGCTAACGCTTTGAAACTGACATTTTTATTCCACATGTGCTGCTGAGAGCTGCATGTTTTTTTTGAAGAGGTCAGTGACAGAAACGTTGTCTCCTACGCTCACACGTCTTCAGTATTGTTTATATTTCAGCTTTAGTAATGTTCTGTTGATCAACAATGACTGTTAAACCTGATGGAGGTTTTTCTGGGGAGGGTTGTGGGAACGAGTGACTTGATTCATTTTAATACTTTTTCCTTAAATGTAAATTTTCAACATACAAATAACTTGTTGGAACAGATTTTGTGTTGAGAGGTTCTACTACTTGTAAGAAGGGTAATAGCATTTATTATTTTTATTTATTTATTATTATTATTAAATAGGGGTGGAGAATTACTTTTCTTTTTCCGATGAATCTAGATTCTTAGTCCTGGCGATTCTGAATCGTTTCTAAAGGTCCATAAAATCGATTTCAAAATGCATTTAAGTTTTATATTTTTTCCGCTCCTACTCCCCGTTCGGCCGCCGTAGAATTGAGCCGTGTAGGCCACCGTACAGCAAGCTAGTTAGCCAGCTCCCTTTATCTGAATGGAGCCTGTTAGCATGGAGGAGGGGGGACAGCGCGATTCAACCCTTCGTCTTTAAAAATCATTTCAGATCCTACAATGATCCGGGGGAAGACAGAGCTTCACAAGAACACAGATGTTTACAAGAAGCGTAAAATAAAATTGCACAGTATTTTGGAAATACGACAAAATTCACGGAAGATGAAAGCGAAACAGCCGACCAGCGAACTCTGCAACGAACTTCCAGCTGATTGTCCAAAGGCTGTGAAGAGTTCCCTCCATCTCCGGCTGCATCACAAAGATTTATGATCAGACAGCTCCGTGAAGGTGACGGGTTCAGGTTTATTTTTAATACGATGGATTCAACGTACGTTATTATAAAGCAGCTCCACAACTTCACCGTGAAACAACAAATGGGTGAAGCTCTGATGCAGCTGCAGATCAAAGGTAAATGTTATTTCTCATATTAAACTAAAACTTTTAGACAAGTTGTTCAACAAACTTTATGTAATTTGTCTTTTTAACAGGTTGAAGAGATGAGACACATCTGGAGCCAGTTCTAAATGATACAGTTTATAAATTATAGTTCAGAAGTTTTTGTGCAAACTTGCACAGGTTTTTAAATGTTGTTAAATATTTACTAAATATGAATTAATATGGTTAAGACTGTGAAGTCTGTATATTTTATATTAGGTTCAGTTTTGAAAATATAAACGTTAGAGCAATATGGTTAAAAATAACCGAAGTCTGTATTTTATTTTGAATTAAAGGTTAATGTACCATGGTAGGCTGAAGTCTGTTTACTTTTATATAATTTTGAATTATTTGTCTGTGATGGACTGGAGACCTGTCCAGGTGTCCCCCACCTCTCAGTGATGGTTGATATGGGCACCAGTGATACCAGTGACTCAAAAAGGAAGAAGTGGATAAAGATGATGGATGAATTATTTTAAAAAATTTAGAAAAATTCAGGCAACTAAACTAACCTAATACTGGTAATTTAAGTTACAGAATTTTATGCACTCCTGTATTTTTTCCTATTTTTGGTATAAATACAAAACGAATAAAAAATATTTGATACGGTAAGGAACCTAAAATGATTGTTTTAAATAAATGTTCTATTTGCTTACATTGTTGTTTAATCTTCTCAGCTCGTCAGTTACAGAACTGAAACTAAATTTATGATCATGTCAACAGAAAAAAAAAAAGATTTAAAATCGTATCGCGACGCCAAATATCAGAATCGGATCGTCAGACACGGAGATTCGCAGCCCTATTATTAATAGTAGTACTTGTATCAACATCCTGTTTCAGTAAACGCTGAGTGCTCATGCTTGGAACGGGTTGTTGTGGTGAATGTGGTGTTGGTTCATCCTGAAAACAACATGATCTCTACAGAGTCCTCTCCTTTACGTTTGTATTAAACTGTGCAGGACCTGAATGAGCTGCTCCTTCAGCTTGTAGATGGGCAGGCTCTCCCTCTGCTCCAGGATGGAGAGCTGGGTCTTCTTCCCGTACGAGGCTTTGTTCCCCCCAAAAGCATGTTTCTTCCACTCGGGAATGTCGTTGGGCATCATGCCGATTCCCCTCATGTTGGCAGCGATCTGCCGCCCGTCAGCTGGAAAACAACAACACGGTTCAACCAAAGTAGAGCTTTAATACACGTGATATCAAAACACACAAACAATGGGAACTTGACAGACTCGAGGGTTTATTGAGGATTTACTGAAACATTAACGATTCCATCCGGCCCAGTGGGGGGGGGGCTGCAGGAAGCCAGATAATAATCTCCAGTAGCAGAAGGCCCGAGGGTCTGTTTTTGTCAGCATGGAGGAAGTCTCATGTCTGACTCAGGACTGTTTTGTGGTTCTAATGAAACATGAGCGGCTACACGACCACACAGCAAATTAAATCTGTTATTTGGAGCCAAATTTATAAAAGTAAAGACATTTATTTTGAATTGAATCTGAAGAAATATGCTAGGCTATATTAATTCAGCTACGGGCTCTTTCACAAAACACCAGAACTTTGACCCCTGCTGGCCACCTCTTGACATTTCTGAGTGGACTGAGGCAGCTGGGAGGGTTAAAACCAACAACCTGCAAAGCGAGGTAGAAACAGAGGCGAAACGGTAGAAATGTGAAAACTTTAAGGATTAATAAAGTGATGACGTGTGGTCTGTGCTACCACCTGGTTGCATGATTAAACAACAACAAACAGATTTAAGATTGCTGATGACATAAAACTTTGCATTTAGTTTGAAAAAACGGTTCAGCAAAAAGAACTGCCAAATTAAATTAATTATCATGTTTCGAAAAAGATACGATGGAGACGTCAGTCACTTGTTTAATGCATTGCACTCCACTTCAGCAGAAGTCTGCTGCACGCCTCCTTTGGTTCCGAGACGCTCGCTTCATGTTTGAGAGCTCACGTCTGTGTGGGACGTGGCCGGCTCCATCTGTGATTTATGAGCGGGAGCGTACAGACAGACGGCTTTGTGCGTCTATTTTGCAGAACTGTTTTGTGAAAGAGCCTTTTGACTTTAGTATCAATATATGCAGCTTCTAATGACTTAATGGATCTCTAACCGTCTGGAAGTGGGTCGACCCAGTGTTTGTTCAGCCCCATGGGGATGGAGTCCATCTCTGCCTCTCGAGCAGCCTGCTTCAGCTCCCGTCTCTCCTTAGCGAGAGCGCTCTGCATCATCGCTGCCTGCGACAGGGAGCCATCTGGATTCTGTGCACAACACAAGAACATAAAGAGTTTAGGAAGTGCCAAACTTTAACTTTAAATTAAATGTGCACAAAGAAAATGACAGATGGAGATGTGGTGCTGTTGGGGGCTCGCCGCCCTAAAATCAAACATCTGCAATTCTTGACTCTTAAACCTTTAAAAAATATATTCTACGCATTTCAAATTTAAACTTTAAAATGGGCATAAATATAATAAAAATGGACATTATGGTAACATTGTTTACAACTGTTGAATCATTTTTAAAGGAATTATGTTTAAAATTAAAAATTAGATTCACAAACTTTTTCTACACTTATTCAAACAAATAATTTTTTTGTGTGTATTTTTCCACTTTTTTGGACTTGTAGGATTCCTGGAAATAAAATTACCCCAATAGATAAATTAGTTTAACAGTCTGCTTTGACTTTATTTAGCCCAGAAAATGTGACAGACGTACTTTTACGATCTTGACCGGACTCATGTCCATGCTTTGTTTGGTGTGTCCTCTCAGAAACGGGGGTTCCTCTTCAACGAGCTCTATTTCCAAATCTTCATCTGTTTGGAAACAAACACAAACCGGGTCAGTTGACTCTGACACAAAGTCCACAAGAACAGCTCGGTTTGGTTCTTAGTGGTGTGCTTTAATTTAATTAGAGAAAATTCACAAACAGAAAGAACATTTCTGTTGTTATTTTACACCAAATGAAAATCAACATCTTACCCTCTTCATCATCAACTTTTGGAAGGATCCCCGTCTCATCATCGAAATCGGGGAATTCTTCTTTGGACAACACATTAGCAGCAATCATCTGAGAAAAGAGCAGAACAATTTAATAAAATATTTATTCACAAGAAGCTCAAAGTGTTTTTCTTACTCGCTCAGATTAATTAGTGAAACACGCCGATCAATTAACTGATTTAACGTTTTGATTAGTGGCCAACAATAATAACTAAATTAGACGGTGGCTGTAAATGATGTTCACAGATGGAACAGAAGATGCACGAGTTGAATAATTAGTGAAGAACAGCTGTTTCACTGTAGATATTTAACTGAATGTTCTCAGATGCCGTAAGAGCAATAAAATGAAAGAACAAAAAAGGTTCAATCGTTTCATCTGGACCAGTTCCTTTAAACGAGAAACGTTTCGTTCTCCATCCAGAGGACTTCCTCAGTCTACGGCCTGCCAACCAGATCTGTCCCACAGGTAGCCTTCACTGCTGTTTCAAGCCAACCTCCTGTTGGAATCTCAGAAGTAAACTTTTAACACGGGCAAAACACACTCATCCAAAACAGTCAATCATCACGAACAACAACCAAATGTTTTAGAGATGATCAACTTGCTACTCACAGAAACAGCCTGAGCACAACCAAGGCCAAAGTGGTTCAGAAAAAAGGTTTGCAAGCTCAATCATCCAGGTAGACAACAACAAAAAAAGGTTAACTCGTGTCATCTGGACCAGTTTCTTTAAAATAAAATGGCTTTTTTTTTTAAATCTGCATTGGGGAGTGCTGCTGCCTGAATCTGTGCATCATGACAACCGACTGCTTCCAGTGTTCACCTGTTTGAGCTCCCACTTCTCCGGGTCAGAGATCTTTGTGAGCCTCTTGCGCTGCAACGTGTCGTCCTGTTCCATCTCAGGGGCGTGGCCCAGGTTCAGGTTGCTCGGTCTGTCGGGGTTCCTCATGGAAACGTCATCTCCACCCTCAGGACCCACGTTCCTCCTCCTGTTGGGGTTCAGATCCTCTCCTGTCTCTTGGTCCACATCCTGGGGGGAATGAAGCAGAAAGTAATTTACAAACTGATAAACCCAAATAGAAGAACCAGAGATGATAAACATTTTAAATTTCATTTGAGGATAAGAGGAATTTGAACATTTAACTTTTTGAACTGTAGACCCATGATTAAATTCATTGCACTTGATTTCCCCACAAAAAAATGTTACGGAACCATTTGTTTTCTTACCTTCATACTGAGGCTGGTCTTCGAGCCGGTAAACGACAGCACCTTGACTTTGACTCTCTGGCCTTTGTTGACAACATCGGCCACATTGGCCACACGGCCCTCCCTGCGCAGCTCAGAAATGTGGACCAAACCTTCCCACCGTTTTCTAAACAGGAAAAATAAAATGACAAATTTAAAGGAAAAGACCTTGAATGTACAAAAGATAATGATATATATATTTTAGATGTGTTAAATAAGACTGATGACTTTATGCAGACCTTAGCCCCTCCAGCTGAACAAAGCATCCAAACTGCATGATGCTGGTGACCTTCCCGTTGTAGATGTCACCAACAGAGGGCTCCTCCGGTGGAGGCCGGTCCACGTGTTTGTCCTTCCACCTGTCAGAGTCCTTCTCTTGGTCTTTTCTGGGGCTGGGAGAACGATCAGCCCATCGGGAAGATTTGTCTCTTCTTTTTCCACGGTCTCTGTCTCTGTGACGATCGCGGTCTCTGGAGCGAGACCTGGAACGTGATCGAGAGCGGTGTCGTCTCTTCCTGTCCCTGTCCCGATCCCTGTCTCTGTGTCTGTCTCTTTCTTTGCTTCTGCTGCGACTCCGGCTGTGACGTCTGCTCTTTTCTGATCTGTGAATATTGGAGGGAAAATTACAATAAAGTAACTATAATAAGCCAACATTTACAAATTAAAACTGAATAGAAATATACAACTTTTACACATTTATAAATAGAAACGTCGTCTTACTTGTTTTTGCTCACTTTGGAGTCTGTCCCACTAACACTGGGCATAAACATCTCCAGTTCTTTCATTGCATCAGCTGCTACTTTCACATCATCTTCATCCAGTAGGCGCTACAAACAATAAAAAGAAAGAAAAACGGTTTTAAAGTATTCATCTTAATCAAAATATTACTTCCTGAATTTTTTTTTAATAGTGCAATAGTAAACCCTCATAGATTCATAAATGTATGTATCTTTTTAAAACCTTTACAACACAAAAATCTACAATGTCCTATGTTTTGTTGCAATTAGGTGGCTTAATAAAAAGAGATAATAAACAAAATATTTGTGAATACTGAAATAAACAAACCTTTGGTGATGGATCATTTGCTCGGCAGAGTGCAGGAAACAGCTCTTTCAACTTTTCTTTTTCGGATTTTGGTTTGACCAAAACATCAGAGGCTGGAAATGGAGCATTCATTAGTTAGGAGGTATTATCATTTTAATACAGATGTCCAACATGAAGAGGACTAACGTCTTAGTTGTCTCACCTTTACTGGATGATGACTTGGAAGGAGGTCTCATCGTCTGAATGAGTCTAAGCAAGTTACTGATGAGAGAGTCCTACAGTAAACAAACGAGATACATCAGCTCCAGGGCTAGTTAGCTCCTTTATGTGCAATTAAATATACAATAAACCCAGCCCAAACTTACTGTAAATTCGGCTCCGTTGTCGAGTAAAAGAACTTTAAATCCATCGAAGCTCGATTGTTTTTCAGCGAGACTGATGACAAACTCAGCTACAAAGCGGTGAAACAAACATGACATTAGCCTTAGTGGAGAGGATTCGTTCGTGACGAAAATACGTTAGAACCACTCCCCAAAGAAAAAAAAACGTAATTTAGATAGCAGTAAATATTTTAAAGTCAAATTGTAGACGTTAATAGTTTAAAAACCACTATATTTGAGCGAAATATTGTGGAGAGTCAGGAGTCTGAGCTAGCTAGCAGCTAACTAGCAAGCTAACTGGTTTTCGTTGACGGCTGAAAAGTTTAAAATACTCACCTAAATCTTTGTCGTTGATCCCCAGATGGTTGTCAAGCTCCGTGCAGACCTTGGACACCAAAGACAAATATTCGAGCTGCGAAAGCTCGTCGACTCCACCGTCTGCCATCCTCCACGAGTTTTGTTTTTCTTCAGGAAAACGTAAATGTCGGCAGACGTACTGGACATGCTGAACTTCCGGTTCCGCCTCTTAAGCGCAGAGGGGTTTTGCGCATTACTTCCTGTGGCCTTACGGTGGCGCAAAAGGGCCAAAAATAAAATACACAATGCGTAGTGTACGCTCATTCATTCATTGGTTCAACCTTTATTTATACAGTTTAGTCTCACCGAGTCACGAGAGACCTGTTTTAAATAAAAAACATAAATGAGATACACACAACAATAAGCATTCATATGAAAGCATATAAAATGAAAAGTATATAAAAGAAGTGACGTATAACAAAATAAAACTTGCTACATTAAAAAACTGTGTAAGCTACTTAAAATTCAATTCTAAACATTCAGTTCATTCATTTGAATTTGTCCCTTGGATCATGCAATTTCATTAAGTTTCAAGCAAAGATTTTGCACAGTTTGAAAGTGCTCAGTCAGAATATGCTATGGGGATGACTCTCAGCTATAACACCACATGTTAGCGCAATAACTGTAAAACTGACTATGTTGTAGCAATTTTGGGGTTTCTTAAATCACTTGGGCATGGCAGACATTTTGAACGGGGTTGGCTCCAAAAGTTATATACTTGTAGAGACACATACATTAATTATCTCATGAAACAGACACACAGACACATATTGATACAAACAAAAATACGTATCTTTCACCTTTTTGCTTTTCAGCAGCTGTCAAGCTTTCTGGGTCTGTATACCCTCACCCATGATTAGTGTAAATTTGGAGAAATGTTAAGACTAATTTACTAGTGTTCTTTCAAAGATTTGCTCATATTTTGAAGAAGAAAGGGTTTTGTTTGAATAATCCAGCTTAATCTCTTTCATGCTTCACTAGCCAGGAGCATCCTCGATAAACACACTTGGATGAGATGTGTTTTCATGAGAGTAGATCTTTTTTGCGTAGGCCTGACATCTTTGTGGACGCGTCAGAGCTGTTATGAAGACAAATAATTACCCATGAACGACGTGCGAGGCTTTTACAGTAATTTAAAAGTAATATTCAAGTGCTCACATACCACAGCTTTGGCTACAGTGACACTTATATCAAACTGCAGGAGACAAGAGATTCATTTAAAACATATAAAAGTCAAATTTAGTGCATCTTCTGCTGTAGCTGTGAACATTTACCTTACTTAAATTTCTCGTTGTGTCTTGGCTGACACACAAAGTGCCACCACATGCACACCTGATGCATGGTTTTATATTCCCTAACAGATTTGTTTCCCTTGGAGTTCAGTAAATCCAGATTATTCATATCACTTTATGTGCCTCGTCAGGATCATATGTATTGTTTTGGTTGCTGCTGAGCTACAATAAAGACACAGATCACATTCTTCCCCTCCTCTTTTTCAGATTCCTGCTCTTTTCTGCTTTAAATGCAAAACATGGTATATTTTATGCTCTCGTGTCTCAGGCAATGATGAATTTCTGCAGAAAAACGTCCACTTTAGGAGTTTTCTTTCATCAGAAATCACATATAACTAGTTTGAAGACAGATTATTAAATACATAAATATAAAAATAGCATTTCCATATGCAACTAAGTGTAACTTTGAGATTAATAAACTGTTTTTTTATAGAGTTGTAAAAATGTATTTTCAGTGGTCTCAGTCCAGGAGCACATACATTAAACTGCCTCTGATTTCCTGCAGACTCTTCTGTAACCTGTTTTTTTTTTTTAGTGGGGGGGTTGTCTGCTCCCATTCTGCCACCAGAGCGTCTGACACAGTTGGTTGTAGAAGTTTGGCTCCTGGGACTGTTGGGTGGGTTTGGCATTAAAGGGCCCAGCTTCATGTGTACGGTTCACGTCACAAGAACAGGAAGTGGCTCGACACACAGAGTCCCACACAGGTGCTCCTCATGGAAGCTGATCTAGATTAAAGCAGTCATTTTTAACTTTTCCATGTTGCAAAATATGTTTAGTGTTTTAGGTACTACCATTGTGGTTGAAGGAATGCTTCCCCAGTCTAACGCCATCAAGAACGGTGAACTTGATGAAGTCATTGCTGTTCAAAATAGATCGGCTCCATGAAGCAAACCAATCGTCCAGATCCGGCTCCCAAAAACAGCAACATATCCCGTCTCTATCCAGAGTGTCATGGATCTTCTTCGGGGTCACCCAAAGGTTGGACGTGTCCGGAAAACTTTCCAAGGGAGGTTTGTAGCATTTTGTAGTTTTATTTCAATAGGCATTAGGTAAGACCAGTAAAAAAAACCTACATTACCCAGAAGCCAACAGTGCTTCCGGCCACCGCTTTCTGCCCAAATGGAGGGAAAG